GTGGTAGTGGTAGTAGTAGTAGTGGTGGTAGTAACAGCAGCAGAAGTAGTCGTCGTCGTAGCCGTCGTCGTCGTAGTAGTCGTCGTCGGAAGTGGATAAGGGACGGGATGCCTGTGGCAACGGCAGCACGGTAGGATCAGCTGTGTGAGTAGTAAAGCTTTAGTAGTAGGCAGCTTACCCCCGACGTGCAAATGCAAGGACTGGATTCTCCTGCTATCAAACGGCATGGATGACATGGAGCTTCTGCAAGTGCTGAGGCGAAAGCAGACAGGGCATTCGGGCATGCATGGCCGAGGGGCTTTGACCGTTGTACGTGCCACCAACCAAAGCAAACCACGATGATAAAGATACTTCTAGGACCTCTCATTATTACAATCATCCTGACAATAAACAAATGGTGTTTTGGGTGTCATTTGCCGGGACTTGGCACGGGTTGCGTAGGTCTCGTGCGTGAATGCATGGTCTTAGGCTTACAAGTCGGCGTTTGGATGCTGCTCCATCAGGATGCAGATTGGGTATCCAGGTCTCCTTCTTGATGTGCAGGCCAAGGAGTGGACGGTTCTAGGGTATCAATCCGACCAACTATCGGGTGACTTGGTTCAGTGTTACATCAGTCTGATGGACTGGCAAGCTAGCTGCTGTTTCTACGTGACCTGTGTGGTTGGCTCGTGCGCTACGTCTCGTGCAAATGTCACGGGTTGAGCACACTTAGGCGATCTCCTGCATGCGTGTTGCAGAAGGCCCAATCAAAGCCGACACCGTAAACCGACTCTAACTAAACCCCAACCTGGTGAATCTTCCAGTCGTGAAGCCTTAAACAATCCCAAGCTAACCCTCCACCGTTCTTAATCCCTCTCCCTCCTACACCCTAAACCCTACACCCTAAACCCTAAACCCTCCTACACCCCTACACTGCGTGCCCCAAGTCAAGAAGATATTCCCTGGCAGGGGTCGCATCGTCCTCCGCAGCTGAGCTGCAATGGAGCGGAGGGGACCCACATTTGCAGAGTTTCATAAGGGAATGTCTTGGTTGGTTCAAGAGGGGTTTTTCAAGCACTTCATAGGCTGTATGCGGTTTGCAGTTTGCAAAGGGATTTATACGGATAGTAATATGAGACTATGAGGGATTTGGGGTTCTGTGCGGCTTCTAGCGTTTAGGGCACTTTCTTTCGAGGTCAGTAGATGGGTAATGGTTCCTAGTGTTTGGGTTCTGGAAGATTAGGGTTTGTGCCTAGGGTTGTTCTCCATGAGGTCTTGTATGGTTCAAGGGGGTTGTTTACACGGTTCAGCATGGTCTGCAGGGTCTTGAATCAATCCCTAAACCCTAAACCCT